CCTTGAGTTATATATAGGGGTTATAATGGGATTATACTGGGATAATGGAGAAGAAAATGGAAACAACCATGGTATAAAAGGGTTTACAGCCTAAACCCTAAACCCTGAGCCCCAAACCCAAAACCTGAAATAGGGTTTAGGGTTTAGGGTTTGGGCTGAACCCTGAACCTAGACCCTCAACCTAAACCTAAGCCGTCAGCCCTACACCCAGAGAGCAAGCGATGGAAATTATTAAGCTAACGAAAGCCTGCGCTCCCCCCAAAGTAACGCGGAACTTCATATTTAGGGTCTAGAGTTTTTGGTTTAGGGTTTACTTCATATAGCTTCTTCTTACAGAACAGTGATCTATATAGGGCATCTTGTCAGGTTCGACGTGGGTTTGAGGGAGGGTATGGATCCAACATAGGGCACCCCGGAAGCCTGAAAGCCAAAGAGTAAACCCCAAACCCTAAACCCAAAACACCAAACCCCAAAACCCTAAACCCTTATCCCAAAGAGTGAAAGGCAAGCGCAAGATCTTGGTGGCCTCTGCTGTTGCGACTGCTCGCACAGCATCGGATGCAACTCGAAGAGCCCTAAACCCTAAACCCTAAACCCAATTCAGTTACATCCTGAAGTCCAAGCCTTTCCCAACAAACCCACAGGCTCCCAAAGATGCCGGCTTTAGGGGTTGCGGGTTTTAGGGTGTTAGAGTTTAGGGTTTTATGGGTTTAGGGTTTTATGGGTTTAGGGTTTAGGGGTTTAGGGGTGTATGAAACAGTCTTTGGAGGTGGGCTTTGGTTTTTGGCCTAGGCTTCGGGGCCGGACGCAGAGCTTCTGGGATTTATATCAGGTTATTACAGCCCAAACCCTAAACCCTAACCCATCTCCCTAAAACCTCCACAAGGCTCCGCCCGCTTGCATCGAGTCTGTTCAGGGTTTCCTTAATTTTGGGGTTCCCTGCAGGGGTAGCTGAGTTCGAATCACATTAGTCGGACTTCAGATGCTTGCAGTTGGGCTATAAGTACAGTTATAGGCAGGGGAAAACTACCACCAAGTAGAGGGTCCCCCTAAAACCACAAATCCAAAAACGTAAACCCTTGGGAATGCCTTGAGATGTACCCCTCTTTGTGAGAGCCGCGCTCTAACCTCGAGATCGAAAATCCATGTGGAAGACAAAGGAATGATGTAGAGAATGCATATAGGTTCTGTAGGAGTTCCTCGGGTCCCGTTATGAGTCATTCTCTACGCTACTTCGACTGGGCCCAACACTAAATTTCTGATGATCAGGGTGACGGGTCAAGAAGCGATCATCTCAACCAACAAATGAGTTAAGTGGTCTTCCCTGTGCATTAAATGCAGTATCACAGGAGGATATAGGGACCTCAATGGTCTCTACTAGTGGGCGGGGGTTAGGGGACTTATAGCCCGGCTTACAACCTACTTACTACGTCCGCTTAGCCATCAGGTATACAAACCTCAGTAAGGACCCCCATGAGGCCTCGTATTCCCCACATATCCCCTCGGTCTCCAAGGAGCCCCGTGTTTCAATAAACTTCCAAGTATTACTTGCCCTACCCAGACCCCTGGGAGGATCTAAAAATTAGATCCCCTATATAGACTCGTTCTAACCCATATATAATCCGTATATATTTCCCCCTATGTTTCTGAGGGATCTCATTTTTAGATCCTTTTGGGGGTCTGGGTAAGCCCTACACCATGAGGTAATTGTGGGCCAAAGTTCCCACATCTCTCCGGAGCCAACTACCTGTGGCTGACACCGTCGGGCCCCAAGTAACATACCCGTTCAGGGTTTCGGGCTTAAGGGTTTGGGGCTAAGGGCTTGAGTTTAAGGGCTTAGGGTTCTAGGCTTCGGGTTTTAGGCTTAGGGTTTGGGTCTAGGGTTTAGGTTCGGTTTTCCTCGTCAGCAAACTCCACAAAGTCCCCTTTTGGGTGTCCTGTGCTAGTTTGAAACCTAAACCCTAACTCCTAACCCTAAACCCTCAATCCTGAACCTGAGATTCCGAGATGTAAAGGAATTTGTGTGGGGTGCGCCGGGGTCTTTGTTGCAGAGCTTCAAGCTTCAAAAACCCCGAACCCTGAACCCTAGACTTTAGGTGCGCGCGACCCAGTAATATTGATGATAAGGGATCATAAGGATGATATTGGGGTCCTCTTATATTTTTATTATGCCGCTGTCACAGGGTGGGGGGTTCCTCCTAACCTAGACTCTTCACATCTTTTTTCACGATCTCTTGGAATTACAAGTGCGGCGATTGAAGCATGAGACACTGTTCTTGTATTATTGGAGGGTTTAAACCCTAAACCCTAACCCCTGGAATACACAAGTTGCAGGCCTCTAGTGAACCCCACGGATCTGCAACCCATGATTATTTAACACGTCCCCAAGAGATGCCATAGTTCCGATTCATAAAAGTTATGTAGGTCATATAGGGGTTACATAGGGTTATGTGGGGATATTACCTTCCCAATAATGGAGAATCAATGGAAAAGAACATGGAAAATGGAATGGAACCTGGGATTATATAATGGTTTATAGGGATTATATGTGCTGCTGTCAATATTAGGCTCACCAAGGGACCACTGTGGGTGGACATAGGGGCTCCCAGTTGATGGTTTCGTAAAATTCCTAGCATATTACCCAGTAGGAGTTTAAGTCCATTAATTCTATGGGAAAACTACTGTAGCTCACATGTTGTGACAGAAATTTGCGAGGGATTTGGCTGTGGAACCGGTGCGTGCTTGTTACCCTAAACCGTCAGACTAAACCCTAAACCAGCAATTTTTTGAAAAGTGGCACTGCAGACCTTCTCATTCCAAAGATGTTTCTCGTCATGCTATTGAAGAGATGGCCTCTACTTGGGAGATCATTCTGAAATCATTGCAAGGGATAGTTTAGGTGGACCCCCCCCCACACAGTAATGGTGACTATAAGGGATAATAAGGATGATGTATCAGGGTCCTCTTTAAATTCTTATCCCTAAGCCCACTATTACAGGGTAAGGGGGTCCTCCTAAGGGATACGGTGGATACTAGAAATCCTGCATGACGCTAAGTACCTTCTACCTTGGGAATAATGGGACTACAGTATTTTAGGGTCATGCAAGATTTTCAGTATCAACAGTAGTTCTTGTGAGGGATGCAGCATCGGGGTAGAGCAACGAGGCCGTGGACAGAATCAGCATCTGAAGCTCCCTCCGAAGCCGGTTTACGGGTTTAGGGCTTAGGGGTTAAGGGTTTAGTGGTTCAGGGTTTGGGGGTTCAGGGGTTTAGGGTTTCCCTTCATCGCAAGGTTGTCTATGTGAGTTTGCCAAAAATCGGGGTCACCCCTATACACCGCTAAGTCTTACATACCTATAACGACTCCTAGAAAAGGATCCTTGTTTTGGAAGCCCACGTTTCTCATGAATGGTAGTCAGTACAACAGGGCAGGACAGCTTGTCAAAGTGAATTTCCCCGGGTTTAGGGTTTAGGGGTAGCCGTTTCACCTTAGATCCGAAACCTGAAGGTCCCAACCTTTAACCCTAAAGCCTGAAACTTCACCAATAAACTCCAAGCCTCAACACCATAAATCCTAAACCTTATACTTATACCCCCAAAACCAGAACCTCCTTAAACCTGAACGCCTTTTTGTGTCACTGACTTCTAGATATTTCTTTGTGCCAGCCAGATTTTAGGGCAACCCGCATGGGACGCTCGCTCTCTCTCTCTCTCTCTCTCTGTGAAACCGCTGTCCTATTAGTACCTGATGCCTTGGAGCCCTATAGACAAAATCTTATAGTAAGGGTTTAGGGTTTAGGGTTTAGGGTAACAAACTTTCAAACACATTTTCGCATTCATACTCGGTGGCTAGTTTGGATCGAGGGAGTGGATCCCTATAGTAGACCCTAAACCCTATGCCTCCCCCCTAATAACGACCCCTATGACCCAAATCCCCTATTCTCTCCTAAGCACCAGGAAGAGTCTTCCCCTAAAAGAGTAGCAGCTGTGATGGTAAGAGTAAGATTCAGAATCCTTGGTTCGCAATATCGCCTGTGCCTGTACCTTCAGCTCTTTTATAGTAGTTTCCATTTCATTCTCCATTACCCCTATATAACCCCAATAAACCATTTTCCATTATCCCTATATAACCCCAATAAACCATAGTAGTTTCCATTTTATTTTCCATTATCCCCATATAACCCCAATAAACCATAGTAGTTTCCATTTTATTTTCCATTATCCCCCAAACCCTAAACCCTAAACCCTAAACCCTGTACCTTCAGCTCTTCTGATCAGGATTCTCTTCAGCAACCTGTGCCGCCTTGGCTACCAGGCCCTTGTTTGTAGGGTTTAGGGTTTAGGGGTTTTAGGGTTTTAGGGTTTTAGGGTTTAGGGTTTAGGGTTTAGGGTCGATGTGTTGCGTGATGGTCCCTGATGCCCATGGTGCTCTCTTCCAGGAAGGGTAGGGCACCTTGTGACTTAGGGGTTCTTGCAAACAATTCTTACTTTTCGCTTATTATAACCCTAAGGAACAACAGCAAAAAGTACAATTTTTACTAGGATTCCAAGTTCACCGTAGGGGATGTATGTCTGCTCGCAGGCCTCTTGCTGTTTTCTTTGTGAACACCTTAAAGTTATTCTGCAAAGAGCATCTTGTTGATGCATGCTTCAGCTCGCTGCCCCGCTAACATTTATACAGTGCCCTCCCGTTCTGCATTTCCATCTTTGCCAAAGCCCGGTCCAACAACTCTAAACCTTAAATAGCAGTTGCCATATAATCTTCCATTTGATTCTGCGTTGTTGGCGTAGTACCGCGAAGCCGACATAGCCCCGGTCCAAGCTGGGAATGCTTCATAGAAACCGGAGAGGGGCGGGGAATGGAATTGACAAACATGGCTTCACAGCTGTGCGCAAGCAAGTCTTTCTCTCTGCTGCTTTTGGCTCCGCCACAGAGGGGGACTGCAGCTTCAGTGGTCGATTGCGGGCATGACTCTACACTTAGGGCGCTCTCGCTCGAGGTCCCGCGAGAAGGCATGCCACTTGCTTGGTGAGGCGGCCAGGGGTTTAAGGTTATCCTAACCCATACCCCTGGTTAATAAACCCCCTATCCTTTTAAGGAGGGGGTTTATTAGCCTTTTTCTGGTTTCGGGCTGCAAAAGCTGACCGGTAATGCCATGAATAACATTGATAAGGATACATGGGGCTAGTGGCCCTTGGTATTGTGAGCTTCAAAACCTCACACCTTTAGCGGAGCCTGCTGACTGTCAACCAGGTGGTACTATGCACGCAGACGTGCACCATCTCCACGACATTAGGCGATGCCTAAACCCTTAACTCTAAACCGTAAATAGTAGTTTCCATTTTCTGTTCCATTATCCCAATATAACCCCTATGTAACCTATGTAATGTACTGGTTTCCATTTCCTTTTCCATTCTCCCAATATAACTCAAAATAACCCCTATATAACCCCTTTAGGCGATGCCTGCGATTTGCTCATAGCGTCCGGAAACACAGGCACCCTGGTGATGGACCAAGGAGAAGTCGTGGCTCACATCGTGTGTGGAAACCTTTAGGATTTAGGGTTTAGGGTGTAGGGTGTCTTTGACTTTTGTAGTTGGCAGCAGCTGCCAAAAAACCCACAGTACTTAGAGCAATCGCCTTGTTGACTAATCTTAGGGGTTCTCGGGCATGATTTTACATACATTCGCCCTGTCATGTAATGTAACAGAATTGACGTCCATACAGCAGAAGGCCTAAATTTCGCCCGAAACCCTAAACACTAAACACTGGCCAGAACCCTGAACGCAACTTTCTAAAGCCCAACTCACAGACTACAAGTCCTGTGCTCTATATATGTCCCAAGTCCTAACCCTAGAGCCTAAACCCTAAACCCTCAAAGCCCAAGGTGGGGGTCATCACAGAAAATGACATCTTGGCCGCTCTCATGGATGGCATTGATCGTGATATTCCACTGGACTTGTGGCTGCGCGGAGGGTAGCTGGGACATTGTTCAGGGTGCTGGGGATTAGGGTCTAGGGGGTTTGGGGTTTAGTGGGTTTAGTTTTTAGGCTTCGAGTTTAAGATTGAAATTCCAGTCCCTACTCTCCTAAATTGATGACAGGCTTTGGTTAACCCCAACTTTTAAGTATTACAAGTCCCCTACATGCATCCGATGATGGTCATTAGGGTGCCGCCATCTTGGGGCTTTGGACCCCAAACCTTGCCTACCTACCCCCCCAATAGGGTTTAGGGTTTCGGGTTTAAGGTGGGACGACCAGGGCCTCTTATCCCTGACCCTGCCGCTTGAGTAAGACGGAGATCTGAGTATAGACCCCAACGTACTACAATTTTTAGTTTTCGGGATCCTGAAACGTACCCCTCGTTTGGGAAGCCCCCGCATATCTCCACCCTGCACCCAAACCCGAAGCGCTTGTTTCGGGTTTCAGGGATTCAGTTTAGGATTTAGGGTTTAGGGCTTTTAGGTTTCAGGGGTTCAGGATGTCTAATGTCCAGGAAAGCAAGACTTCCCGGTTGCATGGTGAATGCCCTGACATTGACTCCCGCGATGAGCCTGCAGAAGGCAGCAGACAGAATCTCGGCGGTTTAGGGGTTTAGGCTTTGGGGGTTCGGGTTTAGAGCTTTAGGGTTTAGGGGTTTAGGGTTTGGGGTTCAGGGGTTCGGGGGTTTTAGGTTCAAGGGTTTAGAGTTTAGGGTGTTTTGAGGTTCATGTTCTTTGGGAATGTACACTTGTACAATAATGGGATTCGGTTTACCTCAACCATCAACACGGGGATCTGAACTGCTATCAAAGGACCATCAAAGGACTTTCGGAGGTGCCTTATCAAAGGCGTTGCGGTTAAACTACTCAAGGGCTTGGTTTTTTGGATTTGTGGGTTTCGGTCTATACAATTTGAGGATTTTGGAGACTGAAGATTTGGGGAAGGAGGCTTTTGACGACTCGTTCCTGGACCCCAAGCTCTTCAACAAACAGGTTAGGCTTGATTAGGCTTATGTTGGGTAGTGCCCGCCCTCAGTAAAAGTTGGATAATAACTATAATATGGGTATATATAGCCCTTAATAGGTATAGACTGTTACTGGGTGGGGGCAGTACCCAAGGCTTAGGGCTTACTTAGGGCTGAGTTTTGCTCTTTGGGAGTGAATGGCCCTAAGCCCTAAACCCTTGACCATAGTTCTGGAAGACACCCTAAGGGTCTAAGGACCCAAGTAGTGGTTTAGGGTTTAGGGGCCTCGTGGCTGGGAGTCTCAGCACCAAGGAGAGGCGCTGTCAGGCAGACATGAAGCAGCATGAGGTAACGTTTTTTCGGCCAGTTGCCGTCCCCGAACAAATATGGAAATCTGACAGGGCCCTGCAAGATGCACTTTTTCGGCTTCTATGCGAGTTTTGTGGAGGGCAGGATTCTAGGCATTGCTTGAAGTAGGTACCAAGTCCTATGCATGCTAAGTTCAAAACTCCCAGAATGGCTGTGTATGTATGCAGCCCTAAACTCTAGGCCCCACTCCCTGAACGCGATGGGCCTTAGATGTTCTGCGAGGATGGATGTTGCTCCCCCCAACATGCAGGTTGATACCTGTGCGTGTGTACAAAGGGGGGGTATATTTGGTCATTCCCCCTACAGTAACAGTTGCGACCATGGGTACTAAGAACTATGTTAGCCCCTAAACCATAAACCCTAAACCCAACAAGCTCCATTTCAGGCCAGTTACTGGGAGAGGGGGAATGACCCAAAAAATGTACATGGATTACCTTAGACCCAACAGACCTTCAGTTTTGGGACCCTATAGTATAATTCTTTATATGAAATCCCAAAACTGAAGGTCTTTGGGGTCTAAGGTAGGGTTTAGGATTTAGGGTATACACGGAGAGGATAGCCGCGCCTTATCTTTGGCCGAGCTTGGTCGGCATCGCTAAACCCTAAACCCTAAACCCTAAACCTTAAACCCTAAACCCTAAACCCTAAACCGCTCTATTTTGTCCTTGGTGTTCGGGTTTAGGTTTTAGGTTTTAGGGTTCAGGGGTGTTTTCGACCTTTTTGAGTCATCACGGCTTCGGAGCAGTAATCAGGATGAAGAGGCTCTGAAGAGGGATGTATTGATATCCCCTATACAGCCGCATGTAACTTGAACCTATAACCTGACTCTTGATCCAAACTTCCTTGAGCTCTAAACCCCAAACCTTAAGATATAACACCCTCAGCATGAAAACCTAAACCCTACACTTACACCCTAAAACCCTAAAAGCTAAACCCTACAACCAAAAATCTAAGCCCTCAACTCCAAAACACACATCAGTTGAACCCCTGACTGAATCCTTCCAACCCTTGCAGCTGGCATTCCGAACTGTCAAATGGAGGCTTTCCAAAAATGACCGTCCCTTTTCAAAGGACTTAGGGCTTCCAAAGCGTTACCTTCGCTGCTTTCTTTTTCGGATCCCCTATCAAAAGGACTTGAGTATATTGGGGTCCATATTGGGGCCTCCTCGCTCTGGAACCACCCCGAAATGTTATCGACTGGGTTGAGGGTCAAGTGATCCCAAACCCTAAACCCTTAAACACTTAAAAACTCCAGGAATGGCCGGCCAAGCAGAGATGGATTCCGGATATGCCTGCCACCACTTGCTTCTAGGAAGGCCACTGGCACCCTTTTACCCTTTTACCCTTTTTAGGGTTTAGGGTTTAGGGTTCTGGGCCTCTATACTCTAAACCCTAAACCCTAGTAGGGACCTACCTTATTGCAAATATGGCTACTAGGCTACCAAGGCTTGTCTCCAATGGCTCTAAGCCTCACTTGGTGTCAGACCTGGATGTCGCATCTCGGCCTTTAGGCCGTGATCAGGTTTATGTGCAGGTTTCTTTTAATAGGGCTTATGGTATATTGGATGTATACAATGGATACTTACCCTGCGGTTCAGGGTTTAGGGTTTAGGGTTTGGAAGCTGCCATGTAGCTCTTTTCTCCCAGCTGTTTCTGGGTTTCGGGCTTTGATAAACCTGTAGTTACTTCCCGGCATGCTTCGGCAAGAAGAGGCCTCATTTCATTGCGAAAATCCAACAGGGAACCCCAAGGATGTAGTAGGAATATGACAGTAGGACAAGGACCTTTGTACATTCCGAAGCCCTAAACCTTTGGGGTCCTAAGCAGAGTCATTTTAAGCATTGCACGAGGCAAGAAGCTTCATCACCAATCTACCGAAAAGGAGCAGAGACTCCGCCATGTCTCTTCAAGTAAAGCAGGCCATGGGTTCGGGTTTAGGGTTTAGGGCATTCACATCTGTACCTTTAAAGGGATGCCTGGGGACAAGAAAATGGAAACTGCCGTATTATTTAGGGTTAGGGCCTGTGAAGCCCCTATCCCCCTTGATATTCGATCTTCCTAGTGTGGTATAGTACGACGTATGATTGAGTATTTTTGATGGGGTCGGGGTTTCAATGCTGGGAAAAGGTGATTAGATGTTGCCTGACCCTAGCCCCAAACCAAAATGCAACTCCATATCGCCCAGTTGAACAAGGGCATCGGTCTTTATTGGGCCCTAAACCCTAAGCCCTAGGAGTTCCCAGGGTCAGGTGAGGTTGGGGGCATTTATATAGATAGATGAGCATTCAAAATTCTAGCTGCGCGAGGTTGCAATGGGATGCAGGGTTTAGGGTTTAGGGTTTTGTAGGACCTTCCTGGTCGCTGGTAGTTGGGTAGAGATGATTACCCTCCCCAAGTAAACATGGATCCGGTGCGGCCACTCAAAACCCTAAACCCTAAACCGCATGCTTGTTTGAAGCAAGCTTGGGTTTTTGGGTCACTAGTTAGAATTACAGTTCAGGGGTTGCGGGGTCTGAAGCCCTTTAAGGCCTAAATCGTGGTGGTCTAAGGTTCACCCTAAACTTCTTCAAGCGATGGATGGAGTTGGGGGACATTTCAGGGCGTCCAGCTTCCAAGCACAAAGAATTTTGAATCTGGCTATGCAGTAATAGGGTTTAGGGTGTAGGGCTTAGCATAACAGATCCCGAAGCCTGAAACCCTGAATCCACAAACACTGAAAACTGTGCTCAAAACCTTATGCTCTATGCGAAACATTCTCTGGGCGCCCCAATGTAGACCCCCAACTATTATAATCCTTATTAGTTAATGTGAGCCTCCAAAATGTACCCTGAAGTTTGGGACACCTTAAAAATCCTGAACCCCCTAATGCCCCCCTAATGTATATATTTAATCTTAGCGGGGTATGTATCGTACGACCCAAACAATAGGGAGGGTATGCAATAGGACTCCATGGAAATCTAATCAATATCCAGAACATCAACTGCATCGAATGCCAATTAGTTCTAATTAACATCAACATAAAATTACTTAAAATCAACGTAAAGGCAGTTCAACTCTAATTCAAGTTCAAATAAAACCATTTAATGAACTTCAGGGTAGAACCGTAATCAACTCAACTGAAGCCTGTTTGAAATCTGATTGAAATCAAATTAGAATCTAATTTAGAACCATGTTAAATCGCAATAAACCCAAGTAAGCTCGCATTCAGATGTTACAACCCTAAACCCTAAACCCTAAACCTTCCTGTCTAGAAAACACTCACAAACCATCATCATCTTGAAAGTCAAGGAGTTCCCTAATCCGTAAGAGTCATGCTAGGGCTGGGAACCCGTATTTATGATAGGTGGGGTTTAATATTAGGAGAGGGATTACCTATAGACCATCATATAACCCGTTTTTCCATTTCATTGTCAATTGTCTTTTCCACTTGATTCTCC